ATGAATGTAGCGCCTCCATACATGGCATCTTCCCCATGATGATGTGCAAGCTTCCCTCCCAGAGAAGCCCCTTGCTTGTTTGGTGGAGAACAGGGCTCTGCAAACTACCTGCAGAGCTCTGCTCCTTGCACGAAAGCCTCTGTCTAGCCTTTTAGAATCTCCTGGCTGTCCCCAGCCTTCAGTTAGCGCTCGGCACTGAGCCCCCTGTGAGCTCCCTGCTAACTCTATGTGCACCAAGAGCCACTCCTTTTGTCAGGACCTGGTGTTCCACTGGATGATGGGGAGCTCTTTCTGTTTGGGGCTATTATAAAGTGTCTACAAGTATTAATGAAAAAGTTTTTGTACAAATGCAAGCTTTTATTTATCTAGGATAAATGTCCACAAGTGCAACTGTGGGATCTTATGTTAAACCTTATGTTTAAATTTTTGAGAAGCTGGGGAGTGGTGGCGCACGCCTTTAATCCCAGCACTCGGGAGGCAGAGACAGGCAGATCTCTGTGGGTTCGAGACCAGCCTGGTCTACAAGAGCTAGGTCCAGGACAGGCTCCAAAGCTACAGAGAAACCCTGTCTTGAAAAACCAAAATAGATAGATAGATAGATAGATAGATAGATAGATAGATAGATAGATATTTGAGAAACTGCCAAATTAATTTCAGAGTGTCTGTATCTATACATTTTACAGACCCACTAGCAAGTTCGAAGAAGATAAATTTCTAAGTCATTACTTCTGAAATATATTCTACAAGCCTAAGAAAGGGGGGGGGGCTAAATCTTGTGAATATATTCTACAAGCCTGGGAAAAAAACAAAACAAAAACAAGGCTAAATCTTTTAAGCATTATAACCCGAATTCAGCTTTTACAAAACACAATTTAAAAACTTTTCTGATGTCTAAGAAAATTTTTTTCATTACCTCCAGCAGAGAACTTGTAACTATACAGAATCTGCACACTGATGGCCACTGTCATACAGAACACTAAATCGTGGGGGTTTGGGGAGCACTGATATCTACAGTAAAACAGTAAGTTCAGTCTATGAAGACTGAAGGGTCAGTCACACTTTCTAAGTACTCAGTATTCTGAGACAAGGCCACAGTGCAGCAAGGCAGAGGAAGGCCAAAAGGTGGGGCCTGTTCAACACATGCTTGGGAAAGTAACTTGAGAAATGCAACCTCAAGAAAAGCTGTCATTATTCTGGTTATAAGACTCCAAACTCAATTGTTTTTTAATCTTATGTAAAAATGGACAATTAAATAATGCGGTCTCTCTGAGGTTCTTAAAACAAGAAGCTAAGTCTAGAGATGAAGCTGCTCACCGATCCACAGCCATCAGCCGCTGATTCAGAGAACTCTGACGCAGACAGCAGTTAGAAGGCCCTCGTTTTTAGTCCATGCAACCACTCCTGATACTGAGCTATCTGAGGTGCACTTCCTTCCAGTGTCAGTGCGATGGATGCTTTAAAAGTACATGGCAGAACATTCGAAAATTTCCAACTAATTACTTTGCCATTTGATTACTGACTTCCATTCAGTCTCTCTTCCTACTTAATGCACGTGACTTACTGATACATAATTGATTTCATATAGTACTACTCTAAAAATATATCCATCTCAATTTTTGAATCCTAGAGCACAGATTCCCATCCTTTGGACCAGACACCCAAAGTCAGGAGTTGATGCAGACTCATCAAAATGCAGTCACCAGTCACCTAATAGCCTGTCAGACAATGACTGAGCGCAGAGGAGTCCCATAAAATGGTGTCCCCCAGGGACACTGGAGGCAGTCAATTGTACAAGTATACTGTGATGTCTGCAGTTAATTAGTATAAGCATACTCTGTGATGACCACAGTCAGCCTGTACAAGCTCACCTTTGTGATGTTGTTGATTTCAAGGCAGGGTCTCACTATTGTAGCTCAAGCTGGTCTGGAACTATGTAGACCGTGCTGGCCTTGAACTCACAGTGATCTTCCTGCCTCTGCCTCCCCAGGAGCTGGGACTAAAGGCGTCTATGCACTGTTACAGTTCCTTCCACAAAGTTCTTCTGTATAAGCATACTGAGATAGCCACACAGTCCGTCTGATAATATGGTATGTTCAAACATCTGTCATTTAATAACACAAAACTACCTCACCTGAGGCCTAACATCAGTTTTCCCAAGTTGACATACATATTACACCTAAAAAAAATTCTTAAGTTTATTAAAGAATGGCAATAAAGTGTCCTTGTCATTAGTTAGTACTCGTTGGTAAATTTAATATCTACTCTGGGGTCAGGACACACCTCATACCACCCTAGGCTCTGAAGAGTTTCTTTTAAAGCATTGCCTAACCAGGTGAAGCATGCATACTACCCTCCACCACCACCAGCACCACCACTACACATAACTAGACACTTCGGTAAACCAGGAAGATTGCTGTGAGCTCCAGCCAAGTTGAAATACGCAGTGAGTTCTTGGGCAGCCTAGACTACACAGTAAGATCCTTCTCAAAAAAACTGAAATTAGCCGGGCGGTGGTGGCGCATGCCTTTAATCCCAGCACTCGGGAGGCAGAGGCAGGCGGATCTCTGGGAGTTCAAGGCCTGCCTGGTCTACAAGAACTAGTTCCAGGACAGGCACCAAAGCTACAGAGAAACCCTGTCTCGAAAAACCAAAAAATAAATAAATAAATAAATAAATACTGAAATTAAGTTAATAAAAATCCATCAAGCACTACATATACACTACCCAAAAGAATGATGCGCTTGAGTTTGAGCACAAAAATCCCAGGCAACATTTAGAAATACAGTAAGACTATCAGGAAAGTGCACCAAGTCACTTCAAGGCAGCAACCTCGGCAACACGGGGCTTGGACACCATTCTCAGAGAGAATAAATGATACTGGCCATCCTTACGGCTTTACAATGACAACTGCAAACACAGTCAAGGAAACGTGGGCCAAAAGTTTCCCCACTGAGCTCAGGGCTTGGCTGCTGAAGACACCGCCCTTCTAAACTCATCTCACCTCCTCACCGCTCTAACAAAACAGTAGGAGAGAACAGGTCTGTGCTTAGCAGTAGCCATGTGGTCTGGTCTCAGGTGAGGGAATCAGTCTGTGTCCTCTCCCTCTCAAACAGAATCTTGACAAGCATGAAAAATACCCTACTGGCCTAATATACAGGCTCTCAGTCCACCCAGTTACCAGTCCACGGGGGACCCATCAGGACCAGCTTCCCCGACAGCCCCGGTTCACCCTCACATTCCCAGCTGGCTCACAGCCTGATGCAGAGAGAGAGATAGAGAGAGCGAGAGAGAGAGCGAGAGAGAGCCTGAGAGCCTTTGCTCGTTTGCATGAACTCAGGAGTCACCCCTCTGCATTTGATGCAAGGTAAATTCGACTTCCAAATCTGTTTATCTTTCAAATCAAAAATTCCTTTAAGGTTTTTATTTTTCAGATCAAATCCTATTCATGGCACATCTATTAGAGAGGTCTTTAAGGGGGGAAAAAGTCAAAATTTAAATCTTTGTCTTCTCTAGACATCTGGCACAGTCATTTATTATTACTTCACGTTAGTTCTCAGAGTTAAGAGAAGCTGGCCTATTTCCTGTAAGAAGTTTAATTTTAGGGCCTGTCAACATTTTAAACGCACTGCTGTTATTTTTAAAATATACACAGGCACACTTGAATGAGACTCGGCATAAGCTTTCCATATAACCATTCCCTGGGCACTCGATAACTTATTAGATGCCAGGCTCCCTGCTTAACACATCAACTCCATCATCTCATTTGTTTAACAAATAAGACTCTCATCATTCCTGCAATGCCAAGCATAAGCAGCAGCCATTACAGCTATCAAAGTGATATCTGTACTGGATACTAGCGCTGCACCGAATCACTAATGCCTAACACATATTTGTTATCCAACTCAACCCGAGTTCCTGGGTTAGCACAGACACCATGAGCGAGGCTGAGTCGCGGTGGCTGCCATCTGTGGCGCCACAAGGAAAGCCATTATTAAGTGATGTCAACTTGCATTCCTTTCTACAGGTAGATGAGCATTATCTTAACTGGTCAGCAATGTAATGCCTGTCATAATTGTAAGTTCAATCTCCTCCAACAATATGATTAGCATATCACAAAAAAAAGTGAGATGCCTTCTTCCTGAACTCTTAAAAATAAGTGCTGTTCCACATTGTGGTTTTTTTACTATTTTGAATCCAGACTCAACAGATGGGCAATTCCAGTTTGAGAGAGAGAGATTAATTAATGAAGCTCTTCAAAGATCCCCTAAGTTTAATCACCACCTTTCCAACAGCAAAATAGTCTTAGGCAGGCGGATCTCTGTGAGGTCGAGACCAGCCTGGTCTACAAGAGCTAGTTCCAGGATAGGCTCCAAAACCACAGAGAAACCCTGTCTCGAAAAAAAAAAAAAAAAACCAAATTGTTCCAAGAGCAGCAGGGGAGGGAAAGGATGAATTCATACAGAAAGAATGGCTGACTTTAAAGATAAGACAACAAAATAAAAAACGGGTAACCTCAACAGGACTAGAGCGTGTCATTCTCCTCATCTCTCGAAAGACACTGACGCAGTTTTACACCTAAGGCTATTCGGGCTGGAAACGGTCTAATATAAACTTTGACGCTGGAGGAAACCTAACTTCTGCCTTTGAAGACAGGGAAACAGAGCACTTGCGATAGAGACCAGAGGAGCAAAACCAGGAAGGAGGCGAGAAACTGGCGCCCGTGGGGTGCGCCTCAGGGCCTCGCCGCACCGCTACTAGAGGAGGGACGAGCTCAATCCGGGTCCAGGCCCCTGTCATCCCTTGTCCGCCACCCCGGCCCGCGCCCCGTTTCGGGCATCCTTCAAGAACCTGGCTTCCCGCAGCTCCGTGAGCAGGCTAAGAAGCGAGGGTTCCCGGGCAGGCCCGACTCAGCCGCGGTGCCGCCTGAGGCCTGAACGAGCAGGCGCCGCTCTGAATTGACGCTGTACCCATCGTCCCGCCGCCACCCCCCAGCTCCCTACCCAGAGTTGCCAATCAGTCGTCCTCAGCGTAGTACGAACTTCCCGCCGCTTCCCTCGACGCGCAACTTGTCTACGGAGCTGTCCCCGCCACACCGTGCAGTACTGAGCCTTCCCATTGGCTGCGAGCGGCGGGAAAGGCGGGGCGAGAGAAAAGCCGCGCTTCCCGGCCGCCTCTGAGAGCATGCCGGGAGTTGTGGTCCTTACTCTCGCTCCATGCTGGGAATTGTAGTCTTTGAGCAGCGAAGATAGTCGGGGGCGGGGGGCGGGGGGCTCTGAACCCGAGGACTTCTGGGAAATGTGGTTTACAGCCCAATGACAGTCTTAAACAGATAGTGTGGCTCTCGAAGCCGTACGAACCTAAATAAATATTACCAGAGCTAAGTGAAGCTTGATTTATTAAACATATAGGCAAAGAGACTTATTTCAGATTTTGAAGCCCGTCTTGGTGTCAGTTTGCTCTGTTTCACCTGTCTCCATCTTCCTAGGAGTGGAAAGAACCGGCTAAGCCGCAATTTGGATCTGAGTCTCCTGAAACCCTGGGAAAGGCTTTGGGTTTGGGTGGCGTTATTGTTTCTACTATTGTTTTACCAATTTAAGATTTGGGGTGAGGTTGTTTGTTCCTTTTCTTTGAGACAGGGTCTCACTAACTCTAGCTATCCTGGAATTTACTTTGTAGAATAATCTGACCTGAAACTCAGAGAGATCCATCTGCCTCAGTCTCACAGGTGCTGAGTTAAAAGTGCGTGCCACCACACCTGGCCTGTGTTGTTTTCTTAAAGCGGATTCTAAAAAAATAAAAATAAGAAAAAAAATAGCTCCCACAAAATCTAAGTCGCTTGCCAGTGTGCAGTGTAACATTGATCTTCATTTTTTTTTTTTTTTTTTTTTTTTTGGTTTTTCGAGACAGGGTTTCTCTGTGGTTTTGGAGCCTGTCCTGGAACTAGCTCTTGTAAACCAGGCTGGTCTCGAACTCACAGAGATCAGCCTGCCTCTGCCTCCCGAGTGCTGGGATTAAAGGCGTGCGCCACCACCGCCCGGCTTGATCTTCATATCTTGAATCCACTGCCCTCGGTAGCTCCACCTACTCCAGCTTCTTCTGCGTCTTAGGTTCTGCCGGTGCAGCTGACCCATAAAAGAATTGCACTGTGTGTCCCACTGCTCCTGGGCTCCTGTTGAATTTAACTCATGGGGGACCCCGAGAAAAGAAAGGTCAGCTAAAAAAAGTGATGTTTCAAGCCAGGCGGTGGTGGCTCATGCCTTTAATCCCAGCACTTGGGAGGCAGAGGCAGGCGGATCTCTGTGAGTTCGAGGCCAGCCCGGTCTCCAAGAGCTAGTTCCAGGACAGGCTCTAAAAGCTACAGAGAAACCCTGTCTCGAAAAACCAAAAAAAAAAAAAAAAAAAAAAAAAAAGTGATGTGTCTTCTGATTTCTTCCCAACAAGGACACAATCAAAGAAGTCTCTTAGCTGAAAAGGTCATGCTCTCTGGGCCTCCCACAAGTATGCAATGAGGCCCCTGTGATGGGGGGGGCGGGGCTAAAGCTGAAAACACAATGGCTGCCTCTGAGCCACAAGTTACTGCTCCGTCCTGTGTGGCTCCAACCCCACACCTTTCTCAACAGCCTCATCGAATAGAAGCTCTCCTCCACGATCCTCTCGTGGCATCTGCTTGCTGTATACACCCTGTCGGAAATGCAGGCACAAGGTGAGCTCTTGATGAATATCCGTCAGTAAAGAGGTCTCAAGATTCACACATCTCACGAGTGTGAAGTCCCACAGCAAGGCTCTGTGGTCGGAATGCTTTGAGTGAAAGACATTCTGCACGTACAAACACATACACACATCTGAGCTCGGAATGCAATTCGCTTGTTACAGTGTGACCGTGTTTCCCTGACCTCACCACAGACATGCAGAGAAAAAGGTCCCTGTTTCCACACTGACTTGACGATTGGCTGACCTCAAAGCACAGTTAAGTCAACGACAGTGCATTGTCTGTGGGAACAGAACGTATCCCAGAGCTCGTGGCTCTGGCACCCTCAGTCCGATGGCTCTCGGTTAAACGCTGCTTTGCTGCGGCTATGTTCCAAGGCCGTTGCCAACACCTCCAACACCACCCACACGTGCTGAGAAGTCCTACCAGTGCCGAGCATGGCAGGAGACCAGTCCAAGCTGCCGCCATGGTGACAGCATGTCTGAAATACCACCAGTCAGGATGTGGCTCCTGGGACACAGGAGACCTTCAGCACATTCTATGAGTTGATAGATTGGTGTGAAGGCCAGGCAACCTACTGAGCTTTCGAAATTAAGAGTTGAGCTCCGGGGGAAAGGTTTGAGAGCATAACCCTGCCATATAAAAGCACACGCCTTTAACCCCAGCACTCCTGAGACAGAAAGAGATAAATCTCTGTGAGTTCGAGGCCAGACTGGTCTAGACAGTGAATTCCTGGACAGCCAGAGCCACATAGTGAAACCTTGTCTCAAAAAATCAAATCAAAACTAAAAACTATAATCCTAACAAATATTTTCCAACGTTTTCTGTGAACCGGGGGTTAGAGTATCCACAAAAGATGCTCATGTAATTAATACTTCAGGACACCCTACTATCTGATAGACAGGAATTATATTTTTCTGTACATTTTGATTTAAGGGTTCATGTTTCCTGAATCTGCTTTTGGACATTCTTCTCTTGGCCATTTTATACACAGCCTCAGGCAGTTCCTGTAAAGAAATCCTTCCTAGTCGGGTGGTGGTGATGGTGCACACCTCTAATTCCAGCACTCAGAGGCAGAGGCAGGTGGATCTCTGTGAGTTCGAGGCCAGCCTGGTCTACAAGAGCTAGTTCCAGGACAAGCTCCAAAGCAATACAGAGAAACCCGGTCTCAAAAAAAAAAAAAAAATCCTTCTAGCAATAGAGATGTGAAGAAAACAGGGTCACAGCTAAATCGTGGGACTCCTAGATCAGGGCCATTGAGGATCAAGTAGGTGACTCATATGGAGATTAGGAGGTGTAAACAAGTTTTCCGGGAGGAAGACTAACTACAATTTGGTGTGTAAAGTCTGCATTGGCTTGCCACAGAGCCAGGCCCCAGGCTACCCTCTTTTAGTTCTGAGAGCCCCTATGTTCCTGATAACCCTATTCAGAGACAGGTAGATGTCAACAGCAGGAGACACTTTGGGGAAAAGAGTGGAGGTCGGTGCTGTTTTCCCTCTTGGTGGAAAACCAAGCAACCAAGAGAGCCATTAGGAAGAAATACTGCCCTGGCAGGCTGCCACCAGGTGCTGGCTCCACCTAAGAGTTAGTCCTGGTCCTTGTTTTCATCTGGGGAGTGGGAACAGTCATCTTTGGCTAACTAACAATTTGCCTCTCCCAGACCAATGGGAGAAAATGAGGTTAAGCTTGAGAAAGGCTTTGATCCCTCTGGAACAAAGCCACTGAGTGTCCTTACTAATTACAGTAACGCAGGGAAATACTGACCCTGGTAAGGAGGAAAATGAGGAGGGCGAGGAGCAAAACACGTAGGAGTCTCCAGCCTCCGTTGGTACTCATCCAGGCCTTTTGAGCATCTCCTATTTGTCAGGCACAGTGTCCCAATACATTTAAGATCTAGTGGGAGAGCTAGGTACATGCACAAATTCCAATAAACAGTATGTTATGAAAATCTATTACTTGTAACATCCGAGCTACTACGTATACTACGGTCCTGTAGTACCTGTACTATGTGTACTACAGTACTATGCTTGTAGAGTACCAGGTTTGCCAGGCAAGGGGCCCGGAGATTGAAACATACACACCCAGAGACACATACAGAGACATGGGTCATCCTTGAATTCCCCAAGAATGCCCCCTTTACTGTGTTCCAGGGCAGCTTATATAGGGATCCTTAACTGATAGCCACGCCCCAGCCAAAACCTACCAGAAACCACTCCCCTGCCATCAGGAACATTTAAGGGTCTCCTGCTCAGAGCAGCTGCAGGCTCAGGAAGACAAGTTGTTTTGCTCAGAGCAGCTGCAAACATAACAAGTCGTTTACAAGAAATTCAGGGTCTGAGGATCCACAGTCCCCAACAATTACTTTCTGAGAAAATGATCTCTTATAATTCTGCAAGGCAAATTATATAGGACCTCAGTGTCTAGATAAATAAACCAAGCTCCAAAGTCACCAAGATAATTAATCTCAATTGTCTACTTGATAAGATCTGGAATTTCCAGGGAGGGGGGGCTCATGGCAAGGATCTCCCCTATTATCTTAACTGGGATGGGAAGACCCGTCCACTGTGGGAGGCACTGGCCCCTGGCTGGGATCCCCAACTGTAAATGGCGAAAGGACTGGTGCAGGCATTGCTCTCTGCTTCCTGATTGCAAATTTGGTGTGAAGAGCTGCTTTAAGCATTAAGGCTCCTGCCCCACCCCGAGGGACCTCACTGTGAACTATGAGCCAGAGTAACACCTTTCCTATGTCAAATTTCTTTAGTCAGGGTATTTTATCCCAGGAACAGAAGAAGTAACTAAGATGATCATGAACTGGCCTTGGTCCATTAAAGGCTACTACTGTGAGGGCTAAAACTATGTTTTACGTTTAAATCACCACACACAAGAGATCTATAAAACAAAAATGCCGGGGCTGGAGAGATGGCTCAGAGGTTAAGAGCATTGCCTGCTCTTCCGAAGGTCCTGAGTTCAATTCCCAGCAACCACATGGTGGCTTACAACCATCTGTAATGAGGTCCGGTGCCCTCTTCTGGCCTGCAGGCATAGACACAGACAGAATATTGTATACATAATAAATAAATAAATATTTTTAAAAAATGCCTCTAACCTGTAAACCCCACTTGCCCTTTGACGACTTCCAGGAATGCTGGGGGCTCTTGTTCCCAAAGAGTAACAAACCACATGCTTTCGCTTCTGTAAACAAGCTTGGTGGTCCCAGCTAACAGGATGTGCTTCACCATAGTCGCAGGAGATGTAGATGGTGCTTTTTCTCCATCCCATGATCCTGCTGGACTGGATCTATCTGCCCACCTGGTCCCTGCAGCCACTTATGAAATAACCAACCAGTCTTAGGCTTTATTTCAG